GGGGTCAGGGACTTCTGAACAAAAACAGCACCCCCATACCTGATGGGGGCTCCTCTGAGCCCACCTGGACTGACCCTCTGTGGCCGCCAGGGACAGGTGGTGGCCTGAACGGGGGGGCAGCGTCACCCGTGAGCCCAGACAGCCCTAGCACAGTGGAGTCCAGGATCGCCCCAGCCACAGACACTTTCTGGCTTCCTCCACTCCCCAAGATCCAGCCACGTCTCCCCTGTCCCAGGAGAAGCTTACAGGAAACTTATGGGCGGAAGCGCCTCTGTAGGGCCCACTACCCAGAGCCAGCCACAGGTACTCAGGCCAGGGCTCAGGGCCCGTGGGGGCTCAGGGGCCGTGGGGGCTCAGGGGCCGTGGGGTTCAGGTGCCGTGGGGGCTGGTGGCCCTAGCCCTTCCAGATCCACTCCCCACCCCTCACTCACTCCGTGGGGACCCTCGTCTGCCTAGATGTGTTGGTCTGTGCTCTTGACAGTCCCAGGACTGGGTGTCGGCCTCACCCCAGCACCCTGGCAGCCTCCAGGCCAGAGTAGAATGTTGGAAGGGCATGGCCCATGGCCAATACCAGGCTCCCGGCCAGGCCCCACCTGTGTCTGCCTCCTCACCCCAGCCTCCTCCAGCCTCAGGACCTGCCTGTCAGACGGGGGCACCTGTCCAGGGGGTCCTCAGGGAGCACTTGCTGCCTGCAGAGCGAGCCCCCGGAGCCCCTCCCCCTCAGGTCCAGAATGGACACAGCTGCCAGACCAAGACCAGGGCCTCCTCACACCAGGGTCCCCTCCCTTGGTGTCCGGTGCCACCCAGATTCCCTGGACGTCTCCCCTCTGCCCTCCACATCCCGCACCATGGGTAGGACCCGCCTTCACACCAGCTAACCCCTGCCCTCCAGCCCCCACTGCCTCTCTGGTAACGGAGCTGCACCTGGCCTAAGCCTGGGGCCTCCACAGGGCCCCTGTCAGGCACACCTTGCTCAACCCCAGCGTCCCGCATCACGCCTGCCCCTTAGTGGCTGGGGTGTGCGTGTATATTTATATTTATACACTGTAATTACATAAATACAATTTAATAATCGAGGGCCAAGCACCGTTATTGCACTGTGCGATTACAGAATCACTCCAGAGCAGACACCAAGGCGTCTCAGCTGAAAACTGGCAGCTGCCTGCATCTGTCGTGAGAAAGCTGGAAATTCCTCAGCCCACTCTGGATCACTGCCTGCGGCGTTGGGAGGGGCAGCCCAGGGCTGGGGGGTGGGGGCACCTCTGGGACATCCAAGGCAGCAGGGCTCCTGGGGGGTCCGGGGCCCTGTTTGTTGTCCCCCAGTTCCTCATACTGAGAAGAGGAAATAGGGAGGGAACTGAGGCTGTGGACCAGGGAGCCCCCTCTACATCTCGGCTGGCCCTGCCCCCACCCCATGCCCATGAGGCGTGTCCCCCGAGCTGGAGAGTTGAGGTGGGCAAGACAGAGGGCAGGAGTGATGGGGGTGAGTCCTGAAGGCCCAGGACTGCAGACTCTGGATAAAGGAGGGGAATGCCCAGAGTGGGGTCCCCGCTGGAGGCTTGGGGTGCAGAGGGAGGGTTGGGCATCTCTGGGTCCAATAGGAAAGAGGAGGGCTCTTCTAGCGCTGATGGTCCTGCAGCCGAAAATGGAGCCCTGCCCCTCACTGTACAGGACCTCCAGACTCAGGGTATCCAGCCCTTCCCTGCCACCTTCCTCTGACACAAGGGGAAACTGAGGCCCGGGGGGAGAACCTCCAGCCCAAGGCTCCGAGGTGGGACTGGACCCAGGCTCCTGTTTCCTGGCCTTCCTGCTGCCCTGGGAGCACGTGGAGCGGGGTCCCTCGCTGGGGCACCTGCCCCTGGAGGATGACCAGCCAACCAGGGAGCACACCCTCCCACAGTGGCCAAGCCTGCTGCCTCCCTGGCCCTGCCCTGCATTTGGGGCTCACCCTGGACTTGGCCCAGCTTAGCCTTTCCCTTAGAAACCCCCACATCCCATGGAGGAGGTGTTTGGCCTCCATTTCTTCCCGAGGTGGGTGGGAGGCAGGTGGTTGAAGCAGGGTGGGTGCAGGGTGGAAGAGAGCAGCTGGGGGTGGCAGACGGCAGCCTCCCCAGGCCTCTTTCTGGGGGGAGGGCGAACACTTCTACCTCACCCCTGCACTAGTCCCGTGAGGCTGAACACCAAAAGCATTCAGAGGGCTTCTCCACCCCTAGTTTGAAGTCCCTGACCACTGAGGTGGGACGGTGGTCCCTAACAGGCTACACCCTAGCCCCAGAGGCCTCCCAGTCTGGAGATGGACTCCCTGCCCTCTCTCATCTTGGAACAGTGAGCGCCAGGGACAGTCCTGGCCTGAGCCTCCTGGGCAGCCTGGCCTCCTTCCAAGCAGGCCAAGTACACAGATGGTGCCTGCACCTGCACAGCCACCCACAGTGGAGAGGAGAGCGGAGGCACCGGGCCTGCTCCAACCACAGAGAGGAACGGGCTTCCCAGCCCGGCTCTGGGCTGGTCAGCAACCCCCACTCCTCACCCTGCCTGCTCAAAAGGGTCCTTCTCCTTCCAGCCCCCTCCACCCTCCCTCCAGGACCTCCCTGACCATGCACGGGGCCTGTGCAGGTGTTGAGCCACACCCACGCCCTCCCAGGGGGCGGGGCCTCGAAGGGGAGAGCAGGTGCCACAGTCAACAGGAGGGCGGGCTTCTGGCCAGGTGGCAAGGAGGCGCCAGGAGGGGGCGGCGTTGATCTTGGGCGTTGAGGGATGATGAGAAGGAGCTCAGTAGGAAGGAAGGTGCTCCAGGCAGGGGGTCTTGGGGAACAAGGGGATGCTGGAGGAGGCGCGTGGACGGGAGGAATTGGGGGTGTCCTACGAGCTGCGCTGGTATCAGAGGCGTGTGAACCAGAGTCGCTCCATATTGAATAGAAGCTGGGTAAAATGAGGCTGCGAAGAGGTGCGTGGAGGGTGGGCCTAGTGTTCACTGGAATGCGGGGAGGCGCAGGAGACGCAGCCAGAGCGGCGAGGGGCCCAAGGAAGTGCTCAGGAGGCCTCCCCCGCAGAGACTGCAGTGCAGACGCCCTGGAGCAGGGGCGAGCCGGGGCCCAAGGAGCAGGAAATGAAGAAGCAAGGAATCTCAGCTGGTGCCTGACCCGGCCCCACCCACCCTGCCTTCCCCACAGCCCGACGCAGCAAGCCGGGGCATCTCCGACCCAGCCCCGGCCCTGGTCCTGTCCGCCAGAGCCCGGCACGCGCTGTCACTCAGCCGGGACTCGCTCCTTGGGGTCGCGGGTGCACTCCGGCCCCGCTCCCGCCTCGGCCCGGATGGACGCCGCTCTCCTCCTCGTCCTCGGGCTGCTGGCCCAGGTAAGGCATCCGCACCTGCGCGGGTCCCCGCGGCCTCCCCAGGCCCTGCGGGACAGTGTCTTCAACTGCAGCCGCACAGGTCTCCCCCGGAACCACTGGCCCTGGCCGCCTTTGGGGACCTGTGAGCTGAGTGGCCCCGGGTGGGTCCCTGGGGTGGGGGCGCACTCCCGGGGTTGTGGGGAGTGAGTGCAACCAAACCCTCCACCTGGCGGACTCACCCCCAGGACTGCAGAGTCCTGCTGCGGTCAGGCAGGGACCATCCAGCAGGCCGTGCCCTGTCTTTGGAGGGACCCCTGCCGGGGTCGGGGGATTGCCAGTCTTGAGTGGAGCAGAGAGAGGCGGGAGCGACAGGAGCGCCCCTGTCTGGGGGCCCTGGCGGCCAGGTTTCCATAGGGACTCCCTGCGGCGGGCACATGATCCCTGGCTAGTCTTGGGTGGTGTCCAAACCCCCCACCCCAAGTTCCCGTCTAGCAGGGGTGGCTGCAGGCCCTGCCCCCAGGAACTCACACTCAGGGCTGTTTCTCGATTGGAAGGACCCAGCCTGAGCCAGGTCCCAACACACAGGACCTTGCCGAGTGGTGTGTGGCAGCCCTGGGTTCCTGGGCTTCACCTGGGCCCCTGCAGCAGCTGCCTGGGGTGATCAGGCCTGGATACCCGGCCCCCAGAGACTGCTGGACTCTGCCTCTAAAAATCTTCTCTGGACTGCTGGCACTGTGGTCTCTCCAACATGGGAGAAAGCCAGCGTGGAAGGAAGCCCAGGCCGCGGCCCCCCACACCCGCCATGGGTCCTGCCTAGCTGGAGCCACGTCTCCTCACCCCCTAGGGGGGCCTGGACATGGAGGATGTGGCCTCAGTGGCTTCAGCCCCCAGGGACTGGGCTGGGGCACAGCTGGCTGTGGTTGGGACGTCACTGGGTACAAGAGGGCAGCCTCTTGCCAGTTTAAGAGAATGCACATAAAGGGCTTAGCGGCACTCACAACATTCGTTGCTCTTGTGGTCCCAGGGTGGTGAGGGAGTGCTGGACACAGTGAGTAAGGGAAGCCACTCCTTTCCCAGCCCCCACTGAAGGGGCTTCCTGAGTCCCCTCATTCCCACAGGCCTCCTGGCTCCAGCTGGCTCCAATTTCAGCCCCTGGCAGCTGACCAGGCGCCTGGCCAGCCAGACCCTCCAGCAGCTGTCCCTGAGGGGCACCACGGCTCCTGCCACCCCCCCACTCCCCCAACTGGAGACAGTGGCGGGGGGAGAGAGTGGTTCAGCATGCGTGCTCACCCCCAGGCTCACCACCCCTCAGCCCTCTGCCGGGGAGCACAGCCTGGGGGGCTCCATGCCTCCAGGGCCCTTCTCCACCTGCCCTGGGGACAGCGTTTCTTCCCTGGCACCCCAACCCGGGGCATGGTGGTGGGGAGGCTGGCGCCTGTGAAAACATTCCTTGAGACCTCTTCCTTTGGATTTGGGAGTGTTTGCCTTTCAACAGGCCCTGGGGGGCTCTGTGGCAGGTGGGGAGGCAGGCAGGACCTCTCCCTCCCCAGAAGCCTCCCCTCTCACTATCCCTTCTTTTCTCCCCCAGGGCTGGGGGACGATAGCCCCCTCCGCCAACAGCTGGAGGCTGGAGGAGTTGGTGGAGGTGGGGGCCAGCTGGCAAGGGGTCTATAGCTAAAGCTCAAATTCACTCCACTATGAGGCAAAATATGTCCGTGTCAGGACCCTGCCTGCGCCTCCCCCACCGGCTCAGCTTTCAGGACTGTGTGCTCCCCTGGGCAGCCTAGGGGTCCCAGGCCGCCTCCTGGTGAGCCCCCAGGCAGGCAGCGTGGTCCCATCAGGGCCTTCTCCAAGTGAGGGGTTGCTCCCCTGCTCGGGCCACCTCTGATTTTTGAGCTCACTCAGCCCCACCTGGAGGGAGGTAGGGGGCAGACTGTGTCTTCAGAACTGGCCCGTCAAGCCTGCTGCACCCACACCATCCCTAGTTGCTGGTTCTACACCTGGGACCCCACCCCAGCTGGGAGGCAGCTGAGGTCTGGGGCAGCACTGCGGACTCACAGAGAGCCCCAGCCTGCTGGGAAGGGCCCCACTTCTGCATCTGGGTTTTGGGAGCCCCTTGGTCTCTGGGAGAGAGTGAGCAGCATCCTGCGGGCCAGGCGGAGGCTGTTAGCTCAGGTGACTGTGACCAAGGCCAAGAAGGGGAGTGGCTCCCAGGCCACTGTTCTTCCCACAGCGGCAGGACAGCCCCAGACACTGTGCTTTGGAGGGGACAGCTGCCTCCACGCCTCTTCTTCCACATCCCTTCTCTGAAGCCTGCAGCAGCTAGAGAGGGTAGGGCCCAGAGAAGATGCTGCAGCTGCTCTGGGCCAGGCCGACAGCTGGGGCCATTCCTGGCATGTCTGGCCGTCCAGGAACAGGGTGGCCCCAGATTCCAGCCTGGGGGAGGGGTTGAAGCCTGAGAAACTTGAGGGGCCTTCACACTCCCTTCCCAGGCAAACCCACCCACGTGCCCACCAAAGGTGTTCCTAGAATCTCACAGCGCCCTTCCTTGGAAAATCGGGCGAGCAGGAGTGTGAGGTCGGCCCCAGAACTTCTCCCCATTCCCACCTCGCAGTGGTGTCCATAAACCCCATTCCCACCTCGCAGTGGTGTCCGTAAACCCCTTCCCACCTCGCGGTGGTGTCCGTAAACCCCTTCCCAC